TAAATAAATAAATATGATGCAAGAAATGTGATTTTGAGATAAAAAAAATGAAGTAAGATTATAGTACTGTTGGGTATACATGAAAAGTTACCACAAATACTAGCTAGTTGCGATTGAAACCCCTGACAGAAACAATAAAAAGAGTTCTGATATAATCAAATCTGTGAATAAAGCAGGATCTCTATAATTCTATATAAAAGATCAACCCATAATATTTAGGCTTCAATTAAATTAACAAAACACAAATAATACATTATTATTATTCATTTTATAGATCCAGAAATGATTTCTCTTCTCTGATTTTATATAATTAGCTCTGTGGAAGTTAAGATTGAATAATTAACTTGCAGTATTGGCCAATATAACTCTGAATTTAAAATATTGCAACTAAAATAGATGTTAATTCAAAATAAATCATTGCAGCTTTGCCTATGCATGTATATATTTTGATGTTCTAACATATAACCTATATTCACATGCTTGCAATCTGGTAATGCCAGAATGTGATAGTATATTGTGTTTACACAACACAAGGTAGGTATTCGATTACATATTGTATAGCATATTTCACTCAGTTTGTGTAAAATTAAATAATAAGCAACTTCGCCCATAGTAGTGAGATATACATCCGAATACCTTGTGGCCAATATATAAATATCATGACACACAATTGACAGGGCAACGTGACGTCACACAAAACTGAGTCCTATAGATTTCTACATACTGTCATAAGTCAGTGAAACATTTCAGTTTATAGGCACAGGAAACTTGTATAAAAATATTAGTATTTTGCAATATTTGCTTATAGAAAATAATGAAAAACACATTAACAACACTATACAACACGCCCATATTGAGTTGCGTCGCCATTATTCCAGGTGTTTCAACTAACCCTTTGAATCTTTGTAATGGTAAAATACATTTTTGTTTCGGTTAGAGAAATTGATGCCCCTATCACCACCGATGGCAAGCCAACAATCATTCAGAGGAAAAATGATATGAAACATTCTTAAATTTTCATTAATTCATTAAATTTCCTTTTATCTCCATGAAAATGGTGATTTTTGAGCCATTAATCACTGGTGTTTATGGGTAAAATGGTTCATCATACCTCACAATATTGTTCAATTACATAAGTTGAATAAATCGTATGGTGTTATAAGATAGGTACAAATTGTGAGTAAATTTTACAATTTCCTTAATTATTAGGTTGAATATCCAAAAACTACCCTAAGCAACATGAAAACATAAATTACTGTAAAAACCTAATGCGAGAAAAACATTCAATGTTCATGTATTTTTCGGATGAAATATATTCTGCTCCACTGCATCAAACTTAAATACACATCAACAATGTGGTTGATTGCCATTGGTAGTACTATCTTTCCTATTTGCCATGTGGCTAAACAAGCAGGTCATTGGCTAATAACGACAATGCAATATTAGCTACTATGTTACGCTGAGTAGAAAGCCAGACTGTGACTGAAGATCAGAAGAGACTTGATCTGATTTCAAGGTTGTGTGAAACATTATGCAGTCAATTAAACTTTCTGCAGCAGTGAATTGTGCCACACTGATCAGTATGATCAGTTATTTTGTTATGTGCTGGCATTATACAAGTGATGTTCTTGTTTCTTGATATAACTGGAATCAGTATAGTGTTATATTTGCTTGCTTGTAATCCTTTTTATCCTTTTATAAAGGTTTAACATTACTTGCATTAAAATATGTATCCGATATCCATACTATACTTTATTATTCACATTCTGCCATAAAAGTTGACTGGTTATCAGTGATGACAAAACAGCGCCCACACATGTTCAATTTAAACAGAAAAGCGCCCTCACATGTTCAATTCATGAAGAAAAGCGCCCTCGCGTTGTCAAATCATATAGAGAAGCGCCCTCACACATTGATTTCGTACAAAAAGCGCCCTCATATTCATACAGAATGTTCAAGAATGTCCCCACGTTCTGAGAAGTGATTTCTTTTCAAACTTGAATGTCTTGAATGCACAAATGATACTTCATTTGTACTGTGTAAGCTATCTTCCATATTTGGTGACATTTGAGATATTGTAATTATTTCAGCTTCTTTTTCTGGATCACTTGATTTTTTTACCAATGACGCTGCTCTAATATTGGGTTTTTTGTCATCTCGGTTTGGGATGCGATTGAGAAGGGTTTGCCTGACAGTTCTTCGTCTCTGTGAAATTGATGAAAAAAATTAGAATAAAATATATATCATGATGGAATTAAACAAAAATGTTTTTTATTCATACACTTGCCGAACAATTTACGGATATTTTTGATTCATACTTTGTGAATTGAACACCAAAGTGACTGTGAAAAGTGATCAGTTCAGAGAGATTGTCAGTTCTTCACCATGATTAATCAAATAATCTAAACATTGACTATTTTGTTAACTGGGATAATTGTTTTGTTTTGTAATAGTTCACATACATATGCTGTTTTAAATTGTGTAGACAGTTGTAAGTGTAGCCAATGTAGGAGGAGGAAGAGGGATGGGAGAGGGGGGTTATGTCATGCCATTAGCGACTAATTATTATGAATTCAATCAATAGGAAATATAACATAATGCTTTTATAAAAGTGATTTATCAAAGACTTTGAAGAAATAGAAACACACTCTCTTATTCGGTGAGAGGACATGGAGAAAATATTTTGGTTGTTGTAAATGCAAACTAACCTGTACAGTGCCCCTCCATCTGGAAGCCGCCATTCTTGCTAACTCCATTTGTTTTTCTTTAGTCTCCATGTGATGCTTATAGAAAATTTCCACAAAGATAAGGGGTATTCCCATTATAATACCCCCTGCCACAAGAATAAATACACCTTATAAAATAAAAGTAACACAGGAAACAGTTAGTACACCATATAAAAGACCATATTTGGTGTATTAGTCGAATATGCAAAGAAATATATATTTTGTCATAAGTCATATTTAAATAATCAAACATACAAGTTATTTTTATGCAAGTTTATGTTCTGGTGTTTTGTAAAACAAAAAGGTGAGCTTTTTGTGTGGTTTTGCTTATTTTATCTCAAACATTTAGCAACGCACAGTTGTCATGGGTATTTAATTGTGGGTATTTATTTTTTAAAAGTGCCAAAAATTATAGTATGAAATAAATCGTTTGCATAAAAAGATTAAAAACTGAACATGGATATTTAATCTGTATCTTGAACAAAAAAGGTTAGGTGACCATACATTTTTGTCAGAGTTTTGTCAACAAAACTCTGACTTACGCGCTAAGTAGGTTGAACAATAGGCATAGAGTTACAATAGAATCACTGTTCATCACAAAAAATACTGACCTGCCATATTTGAAAGGCCAAGAGTAGCAGGCTGATTATCAGACAGTTTACAGTGTTTAAAGCTAATCCATTCGGAGTCTAAGCCCTCCATGACTCCACTCTCATGAAAACTTAAAATTCTCAGTGATACTTTCTGCGTCCATGGACTGCCTTTCTGGAGACCCAGTCCAAACCCACATCTACCAAAGAGTTCGCCAACTGTGACAAGACTACAGTCATCAGAGGCAACATAATCCAAAACAGCAGAGTCCCAGATAAATGCATCAAGTTCACTGAAATAAAACAAATTATTCTAATGTAGTGGTCACATAAAAATATATCTCAGTGAATCATGCTGGAGTTTTTGACAATATATGCTATATGAACATTGTCAATATTTTTCCAAAATCATCTAAATCAATTCAAATTATTTTGTATCTGTTTTAGTAGAATTATCGTGCCATTATCTATTTCCAGACACCGTGTATTTCACACAACAGTGACACTATTACAACAATGTAGAAAAATGAGTTTTTCTAATCAATTTCTCCCCCTTCACCAGTAAAAGTAGCACAAGTAGTCCCTCTCCTCCTCCCCCAAAAGTGAAACTAATGGTTCAATCCTAAGTAGTTTCCTTCCCATATCCCAGTGGACATACTGATCCTAATAATTTTAAGCGTCCCCACTTCTAGCAATAATGATGAGAGTCAACACCCTAAGTAAGCCTTACTTGTGATTTTTGAGAGCAGCAATTGCAGCAGAAACATTGTCATAGTTGTAGTCTTCCATGAATCGATACATAGTTGATAATTCTACTTGACGACGGAAATATTGCTCCACAGAACTTCCTGTTACAGTTGCATACTTGAAGGATTCTGATGGATTCCGCAACTATTAAATGAAATAACAACAATATAGTGGTAAGAAATGGGCTGAGCTAGACTTGATGTGGTTCTTTGATGTTTGTCAAAGCAAAACTGATGGGTGAAGAGCACTACCTATTGGAAAACAATCCTCTAACCTTGTCTTTGTAGACAATGTTGGGAAATACAGATGCATGTAAATACTAATAGAGGTATGTATATTTCACTGAGCAGACTGTGTGGAGAGATACACAAGTCAGCTTGGCACATTTCAGAAGCATTGGTCAATTGCACATAGAATTATTTAATAGACTGAATAGTATATTCCTATCATTAGATGGGTTTCACTGTGACACATACTCATATTAGCACCACCACTTTGTCGTTATCTCATTTTGAGACATTGATTTAAGATTGATTGATTATTGTGAAAACTGCACCATGTTGTCAAATATACTGATTTTTGTCTTTTCAATCATTGATGCCAATAATACTA